TTGCCCATCCAAGATATACTGCTTTCTTATTCTGGATACCTAGTGACAAAAACAACTACTTGAAGTACATGGGAATCAGTATTATACCAGCTCAGACCATTTTCCATCTGGATCTGGCTCAGTATTATTTCTTCTGATTGATAGCAAATCTCTGGTATTTCTAATGGACTTTTCTGCAGCCCAGAGACTGAAACTGAGATTTTTTGCTTCCAGGGCTGTGACTATACCCCTTCGTTAAAGCTAGCTATTTAAAATATTGCAGAGAGCTTTTTTTTCATATGGAAAAGCAGTACATGAAATGGTCCAACTTCCCTCTTTCCCTCTTGATGCTTGCAGTCACTTGTTGCCATATCTATTCGTGTCATTTATCACTGAATTTTGCTCTTGAATGAAAACCATCCTCTAACTTTTTCAGATTAACAAAAACAGTGCTGACCCTTCCCAGAAGTCTAGCAGAACAAATTTATACATTTTTACTTGGGAGTAAATAATATAAATTATCTATCTGCAACCTACTATTCTAGAGATTAGAGGTATGGGGTGTATTTCTTAGTAAGTAGCACAGAGTCTCCCTCCTCAAATATTTGAGGGTTTTTTTTAAAGTAATCATGCATAGATTATGGTATAAAGCTAAAAACTTATACACACTTAGAAACACAGGAAGGAACATGGAAAACTGCCTTTTATTGAGTCAGACCATTGTACCTCAAGATCTGTTTTGTGTACATCAGTAAATGTAGACAACCTGATACTCTCCAGATGTGTTTCTCTATCATCCCTAGCCAGCATGGCTTTTGTCCAGAGTATCCAGAGAACATCAGGTTGGAGAAGACTGGTCTACACTGACAGGAGTGGATGGCCAACATTTTAGTCCAGGATCTCCCCCAGCTATATCTGGAGATGCTGGAGAATGAACCAGGGCTTTTTATGTGCAAAACATGTACTCTGTCGCTAAGCTTAGTAATACGTACTGTTGAATACAGGGCCTTTTTTTCTGAGTAAATATTACAGTGCTTAATTTTTAGGCAAAAGTATGCAGAAGCTTATGTCTGTTTGGAAATCCTGCCATCAGAGCTGGAAGCTCCTCATCCTGATTATAAATGGGACTTCTGTATTTTGGTGGTGAAATACCATACGTGCACTCTGCATCTGCTCAAGGATATACAGAGAAGCATTTCTGAATTACATGCAGATGCGATTGCTGAGTTCTTATAAGGCCTGGCAGAAACTTAAGCTTTCCATGCCTATGGAAAGAAAGAATGATGAAAGATGAAGGAGAAGATAAGCCTTGCTTGCTCTGTGTGTGTGTGTTGTGTGCCTTCAAGTTGTTTCTGACTTGTGGTGACCCTATCACAGGGTTTTCTTGGCAAGATTTGTTCAGAGGAGGTTTGCCATTGCCTTCCCCTGAGGCTGAGAGAGTGTGACTTGCCCAAGGTCACCCAGTGGGTTTCATGGCTGAGCAGAGAATTGAACTCTGGTCTCCAGAGTTGCAGTTCAACTCTCAAACCATTACCCCACTCTGGCTCTCCCTTGCTTGCTATAGGAGCAGTGAAAATTAAAATGCATCTGAAAACAATATGCAAGAAAACAAAACAGCAATATGTTTCATTATACAGTTTAGCCACTTGATGGCAAGAGTCTTAGTTGCTTCTGGGTGGGCATCCTGCTCTCCCCTGTCTCGTTGGGAAGTGATAATGAGGGACTTATCTGGCTTCTTGGCAAGTATGCCTTCTCAACCTTCTAGGAGTTACGGGTTTTCCACAATCTGGTGCCCTCCAGATTGTGGGGGTATAATACCCACACATTCCTGATCATTGGCCATGACGAATGGGACTGATGAAAACTGAAGCCCAGAATATCTCTAGAGTACTAGTTTTCAGAAGATAGATGTAATCAAAAAGGGAGAAGATAAACAAGTAGGCTTGCCAGCAGTCCAACAAAGGCAACTTGCCTCGTTTAACAGCAACAACTCTAGAAACCAGCTGGCAAAGCTGCCTAGAGTGTAGGAATGTCAACACTATCATCATTCGTCAGTTGCTACCAATGAAGTTCCTGTTGAAATGCTCAGCTACATATCTGATTCAACTACTAACTACCCTGCACAAAAGTGGCAGAAGTAAATCAAAGGAGCCCAGTAATAATAGATGAGTTTCTGCTAAGAAGAATCTGCTTCATTTTTGCATCTGAACATTTTAGATGCTGTATCTATGGGGCTATGCAGATGGGCAAAAAGGGGTGCTTTGAGGTGACTTGTAGGCATGGCCTTTAGATGACGCATGCCTAAAAGTCTCCAGGGAAGTGCCCTCTAGCCGTCGTATGCCGAGAAAAGCTGCTCCAAAAAGGAGCCACTTTGTTCCGATCTTTCGGTGAAGATGCTCACCTTCGCATGTATGTCTTTCGTGCAGGTATGCAGGTCTTATGCAGACCTGCACACCACTTCCTGGCGTAATTGGGGGGGGGCTCCTGGAGTAACATTTTTCTGTGTGTCCTGTTGACTATCTCCCTTGCATGACTGCCAGCTGCATGCATCAAGTCTGTCCACACAAACCTCCCTTGCATGTACCTCTCCCTTCTCCCCTGATCTGTGTGGGACATGTTTTGTGGAGGACGATGGAGTAGGTATCTTTTCAGTTGACAAACTATTGACAAACTATTTCCTTTGCCCCAAAGGTGGCACAATCAGACAGTGACACCTGTCTACTGCACCCACTCCTTGGGGGGAAGTGGAGGTCAGTGAATCCTTGCATGATCTGTGGGTGTATGACAGGTCCTGCACAGGTGCACAGGGATGTCGAACTTTAGTCACTTTTGTACACATACAGTGACAGACTGTATACTAGCATATGACAGGTCTTGTGCAGGTATGCAGGGATGTTTTCCTGCACAGATGCGCAGGTGTGGAGAGATGTTCCTGAGCATGTGCGCATGCATTTGAGAGAGAACAAAAACATTAAAGCAGCTGCTGCCAGCCCATGCAGTTGCTCCATCTTCCTTTGCAATGTCCTTGGGGCTGGCGGTGCGGTTGCTGGGGAAAGCTGCATTGATGCCCCCCAGTGCGGTTGCTCCGTCCCCATTTAGGGCAACCTCAGGGCAGGGAGTACGGTTGCTGCAGCTTAGGAAAAAGACAACTTCAGGTAACCTTTTCCAGCCCGTCTGCATAGCCCCTATGTTGACCATACCCAACACAGCTACATAAGTACAATGGGCCATCTATATTTGCTGGGGTTAGGGATACAGGACCCTTGTGGAAGTGGGAAAAATGAAAATAAAAAAACCACTTTTTTTTTTACTTGAGAGAACACCTCTCTAGGAATCTCTAGGTCCTCCAGTGCAACTCTATTGTCAACATCCACTGGATGTTGATCATAGAATTGTGCTGGAGGACCTACAAATGCCAAAAGAAGTGTTCTCTTTAGGAATCTCTAGGAAGCATATTAATCACATCTGCGAATAATAAAATCCTCAAAAGTCAAAGCCACAAATGTGGAGGGCCAACTGTATAACCCTGATTCTATAGCCATATAACTCATATGTTCATTGTTAGCAAACATTACCTACAAACCAGATGTTATATTCATTTGGTGTAGATGGTGGTACTCCTGTGACATTCAAGCAGGCCATTTTTTCCTTCTCCTCCTCTTCCCCCCACCCAACAGGAGCCTGACATAGGAATTTATCAGATGAAGAATTTCCTAGCATGGAAGTAATGGGGAAAGGTATAGCTGCTTTATTTCTAAATTGCTCAGGTTGCTAGGGCACAGGAACAGAGTTGATAAGAAGAATTTTTTTTCCAAACCAGCATGTAATTCCCTATTAGTTTTGAAAGAAGCGCATCTAACATTTGTAGCAGATGACAGCTATTTTTGCTTTTGTAATTCTATTACTCGGATTACTTTTCTAATTTTGTTACAAAATTGTGCTATCTTTAAAAGCCTGGTTATAATCTTGAGGCTTTCTGAAATGCCAGGAATGAATAAAACAGCTGCATAGAAGGCTGGTTCTTGGCATCATTTAAAAAAAATTGTCACAGCTGTTCTAAGTGTTCATTTAAAACAAGAATATAAGCTGGCATCCAGAATAAAACCAACAATCAACATCAGGATATAGAGTTCCATAGTTTTATATAGCTCCTGAAAAACTGATGCCCATCATTGTTACTGACAGAATGAGTGTGGAAGGAGGGACTGTGTATGCTGGACCTTCTTTTAATGTCCCTGTGTGTGCCAGGCCCAGACTTTACTATGCTGAACAGAAAAATCTACAAGGGAATTCTCTTTACAGTAGTTTGAACATACTGCATATACAGCCATCCTCCTTATCCACAGATTTTTTATCCACAGATTCAAGCATCCACGGCTTGAAAATATTCCAAAAAAGTATAAATTCCAAATAGCAAACCTTGATTTTCCATTTTATATAAGGGACACCATTTCACTATGCCATTGTATTTAATGGGACTTGAGCATCCACAGATTTTGTTATTCACGGGGGTGGTGGTCCTGAAACCAAACCCCAGCAGATAACAAGGGCTCACTGTACTCATGTATAAGTCTAAATATTTTAGTCAAAAAGTTGAGCCAAAAAACCTGGATTGACTTATCCACATGTCAGTATAAGTAGTGTAGTTTAACTCTTATCAAAAAAGGAACCATCCCCTTATCCGAATAGAGTGGTGAAAGGTAAGAGCATTGTCAGTCATGGGAGAACTGAAAAGAACCACCAACCCCCTCCACTTTCTCCACTACAGCACTGCTTCTGACCTTTTTGAATGCCTAGGCATGACAGTGGTAGTGGCGGTAGCTCTTTGGCCCCTGCAAAGGTGCACCAATAGAAAGGATTTGACTAAGACATTTGTGTATGCTTGTCAGCTTTTCTGGGTTGAAATCAGGCAAAATTATTACATTAAAGATACAGGCTATAATCACTGCTAACGTAGGGGGGAAGCAGACTGGCGGCCCGGGGGCCGCCCTGGGAAAGTGCGCCGCAAGACCGAGGCGTCTCCACGCCTCGATCCTGCGGCACACGTTCGCCGCCCCTGAAAGGAGCGCTAAAATAGCGCTCCTTTCACAAGTCAGCGAAAGTGTGCCCCAAAACGTTGTGGCGCACTTTCGCCGACTTATTCGCCACAGCGTGTGCGGAAGCTGCGGCAGGATGTTGCCCTCGGAGCGCCGGCCGTGCGGAGGGCTGGCGGCTCTGAGGGCAACCTCGGGAGGAGGAAGGGGCGCCAAGCGTGCGGCTGCCCCTCCTCTTCCCTGCCTCGAGGACGGCTTTTTAAGCCGTCTGCCGAGGCCCATAGTTGCCATTTTCTTTGCTTTGCCTTTTCATCCTTTTTGACATGTGCATTTTTCCATCCCCACCTATGCCTGATCACCTCCCCCACACATCACACAATGACGATTTATTGTAGTTCTCTTTTTATCCATCTAGCCCTTACGATGAGCACAAACAGTTATGCCTGCCAAAATTTTGAAAGTTCTTTGGCATCAATGTCCTTTCCTATGTCCTTTACATCTATTGTCCCATGCCCCTAAGTTTTACCTTTGACTTACCCATGAATCATATCAAAAACCATAATTTTGCCCCCAGATCCTGCTCTTGATTTATACTTGAGGTTGACTTATAGTCGAATATATATGGTAAGTAGAACTCTCTATGCAGTTAGAGACTCAGTTTTATTATGAATCCAAACTATGTTGAATGATCCAATGACATTCAAGTGAATGTGAACAGGACTTCCTTGCATATCTTGCCACCCATCCAGAATGAGGAAAAGTTACCTTTTGGGTGACACCTCTTAAAAACCTCATGTTACCCTGGACGTTCTGGGAATTGTAGTCCAAAAAAGTAACCTTTCTAGTCTCTGCACTGAACACAATAAGGTCAGCAACCAAATGTGTTCATAGGGGGGTGGGCAACCAGGCCCATTAGGTATAAAGGGTTTTGGTAGGAAGGGGGGCACTACAAAGTCAGCAAGAAATAAATTGCAATACTATACTTTATATACATCTAGTATTCAAGCCTATGCACAATTTTGTGGGATTATGCCCATTGAGTGTGGTAGGACTCATTTCTGAGCAAGGCTTAGGCTGTTGGTGGTGGTAAGCAGATGTGGCTCTCACAGACACACTATTATATAAGATGGAGAACCTGTTATCAAGGAAAGGCCTAAAAATAGCAAATTTGCATTTCCCAGCATTGACTTTGCAAATAAAATCCCGTAATTAAATTCCCAGAACAGAATACAGCCATGGTTTAAAATGGATTCCATATGGCAGGTTTATAGGAATGGATAAATATGGCCTCAGTAATCATTTGTCGTAAAAACTGGTACTTCTGATTTGAAGATGAGACATAGTTGATGTTTAGGGGAAATACACAGGGGCCAAATTACAAGGGCTGAGTAGAGAACCTGACCCTTATATCCCTCAGCAGAAACACACACATGCACACAGTGGTGGTGGTTGTGTGTGCGTGTGTATGCGTGCATGTGTGTGTATAATATAATCTTCTGAAGTAATACTGCG